TTCTCTGCCTAGACGTGCTATCAAGCAGTCATCAACATACACATGTACGAAGTTGTGACCTTGAAAAACATCATCCATGAACCTTCGGACTGTTTGGGCAGCATTTCTTAGGCCACAAGACATGAGCGAAAATTCGTAAAGACCGAGAGAAGTTATAATAGCGATTTTTGGAATGTCGTGAATGACCAAAGGAATTAGGTTATACTCCTTAACCAAGTCGATTTTTGAAAAGACAGTTGTACCTTTTAAGGGAGCTGTTAAGTCGTAAATGTGAGGCAACAAGTGAATGGTTTTGGCATTCAATCGCCGATAATCACCAGTTGGACTCCAATCGTTGATGTCCTTTCTAGGGACTATGTGCAAGGGAGATGATCATGGACTGTTTGACGGTCGAATGATTCCTAACTCTACTACGTGATCGAATTCGTTTTTGGCCAATCTCAGCTTTTCGGGGGCTAGTCGTCGCGCTTTCGAAAATACGGGTGGTCCGGTAGTCGTGATGTGACACGGCAATTTCGGCTGCGGTTGATATATCCCAGAATATCTATCGAGTAATTGTTGATAGAATGGAACTATCATGTGTCTGTTTGTGACAGGAGATAATGTACAAACGGAAAAATAAATTATGCAAATAGATGGATTGGTGTTTCCGTCTATTAGCCTGCATTTGAGCGTGTCGATGAGTAGATGGTGGTGCTGTAGGATGTCTATACTAATGATTGGCACAGAAACATCTGCAACAGCGAAGACCCAGTGTATGGGTTTGCGTAAACCCGCGTTAAGGTGAACGTACCTTTCGGTTTGCCGTCTGTAAGGTTAAAATCGATTCGTGAATCCGATAGTTAAAATTTTCTGGAAGAACGCTAACTCCTGCGCCAGTAGTGACGAGGTAGCGAACTCTCGTTGTCACATCTGTGACATATAATAATGACTATGTTCGCTGGCTACGGTTGCCGTTAACGCGTGTCGGCTTAGATGTTTCCCGAATTGTCTTTCGTGTCAGTCGATTTTGAGTCTGGAAACTTGCAGTGTTTTCTGCAATTTCCAGAAGATTACCCGTATTGGTTATGATACCAGCACTAGTCGGGGTTATCAGTCTTTTGTGGTCTAAAGACAGATTGCTTAGGTGAAGTGCTTCTTCGAGGGGTGTGTGATCGTTTACGGTCGTTACGAAATTTAAGATAAGGTGTAAGTGTATGACACAATTCCGTAATGCCATTCTGTGTCCCTTGAGGCTTTTCTCTGACTGAAAACCCTTGATGTTGGAAGATTTGGTGATTTCTAAGATGCGGTCGACAGATGCAGCCAGCTCGTCTATGGCGTTGTTTTGAAACGAGACCAACACAGCCTGCATTTGTTGAGGAAGTTTGGATATGAAAAGTTGTTTGAATAGATCATCATCGAAGGTTACTTGGCCAATAACCTCTCGTTATTTACAACATGTCTGTCGATGTTATTAAGGAGTTGGTCTAATCTTTGTCGATCGGTTATGTCTCCGTGTTTAAGGACAGATCGTTTCAGTGTTTTGTAGGATTTCGAAACATCACTAGTAAACATACTACGTGTTACGTACCTGTTGAATTCGCGCGGTAGTGCCTTGGCTACTGGGAGGAATTGTCCACGTGTGTCGTTCACGCCGTGCTCATAGAAGCCGGCTTCTGCGTAGCAGAACCAGGCTTCGATGTTGTCTGACCAGAAGGGCATTAGTCGGAGCGAGGTGGGGACTTAGTCTTCAAAAAAAGTACCTTGGGTGTCGGATATGTCATCGGGTAACGTCAAGTACGAGAATGAACGAGTGAAATAATATATCAAAAACACGGGAAAATATATCACAATATATAAAAATTAATATAAGGCAACCATATACAGAATTCCAAAAGCAACAGACTCACAGTTTGCAATTTGGTGTACCAGATCACGTCGAATTCACCAATGAAGATGCCACAGGCATTCGGAGTTTGACAACGCTTTAACCAGTAACATTTTCTAATATGAATCGTATATACCAAGTGAAATACGAATGTATGTGTATTCCAGTTACTAACGGGCGTCTTCTGCCAAGACTGTCTCGAGAGTGGCAGCCGGCATTTAGGAGGATCGGAATGTCATCTTCACTACCCGGGCTCTAGAATCTTAGACCTTCCCAGGTAATTTCACCACTTTTTGGGGCAAACTTTTCTCAAACTTCTAAGAGTTCCTGAACTTCCACTCCCAATTATTGCATTTTCTGTAACCATGGTTTGTGTTTTCTAGGACATTTAGAACATTGATGATTCTTCCGAGAAAGAACGACTCTCGGGATTCTCTGGTATGGTTCTGAGGGAATCGCGCTAATAATACTGTATATCAGGCAGTACCCTAACATCCTCTATTGATTTAAGCAAGTGACTATCCAGTTGAATACCTTCTATGTCATCTGTGCTAGTGTGTAGTTGTACTGGTTTCTAACAATAGGATGCTTGAAGCTGAAAATACTTTCACATTCGACATTTTACACCATAGGAATGGTCAGATATGGTGAGCGCGGGAACACTTAGCTGGTATAGTATGGCCCGGCTATGCGGGCGTGGTCACCATATGTAACTTCTTCCCTTTTTCATGAAAAATATATCATTATATATCCAGCCCAAAATCGTTCTTCAGATGTGCTAAACATCATATTGCCAACTATCACGGTAGGACGAGTTAGTATAGAATATGATGTCACTTCCATGTAAGGTCAGATAGATTAGATGGTAAGTTCACAGTTTTGATGAGGTCCATTATCCCAGTAGCATAGATAATTGCACTAATATCGAATAAGGCCATAATCCCACAAATGAATGTCATCAGTGTCTCGGATTATTTTATGGACAACCGCGTATACACAAGTTTTCTGCGAGTCTGCAGAATTATGGTCTAGTTCGTTATTAGTACTTCTCTAGTAATAGACCTAATCCCAAGATTGTAGTCTTGTCATTATGTAACTGCCTAATCTATAAGATCTTACGTGGAAGTCACATAATTGTCTTGACTGAATCATCGTATTGTAACAATCATCAATATATGATGAAGAACACAATTAGGCTAGTGATAGAACATTATATTTAATATGAATAAATGATGAGTTACATAAGAATGACGACGACTGTAAAGCCGAGCCATGCCATCCGATTGATTGAATTTCGAGTGAATGTTTACGCGTTCACCATTGTTGACCTCTCAGTGACATATGTTGAATGTCTAATTTCCCAATTATCTCACGTTCAGCTTTGAGGATTGTGGTTAGGACCAATACCACCGTAAGTCTAACAGCTTCGGTGATATGGCGGTGTTGATTTTCAGCATATCGTCGATGGTGTTGGTGCATGTCCTACTGAAGATGCCTCAGTTATTTGGAATTTGACGACACTTTAACCAGTAACGCCTTCTAATATGAATCGTACCTACCAAGTGAAATCAAAAGACAGGAGCGAGGAGGTTCGAAGATATATTTGATAGGTTATCAATATATCGAGGATCGACTGATCTAATCTGGCTAGTGATTGCAGGGGTTGTTGAACGCGGCGTTCCCACTCGTGATCTGGTGAGGATGCATAACCGAGCGCCTTCAGCTAGGCAAGTCCATTAAAATTAATGTGGTCAACATCCAATATCTAAAACTTACAGAGCTATTTATTTTGGGGAGTTATTTACCGCTACATTAATAATAGTAATATTTTTTGAGACCCCCATCTTCAAATTACCGCACTTTTTTGCTTGTTTTTCCGTTTCGGTACCATCCTATTACAGGATTGTCGAATATGTTTCCATAGACTTGTCAGTAGAATGATGTGTTGCTCAGCAAATTGTCAGTATTCATTTTTCGCGTGCCACATGCCCACTTGGGATTTGTGGTGGACCTTAGTAAAAGTGTACTCAAAAGATCACTATAGGAAAAGCTACTAAAATATTACACAATAAAATGACGTGTATGTTTATGAATAAAGCAAAATGTTTACAAATCGAACACACAAAATATTGTATATTAAATAACAAAGTGATTAAAATTGATATAAAATAAATGTTACTTGTGAACTCCTTTTGAGGCAACAACCACAAATGAGTTCACTTGATTGACGAATGTTTCTTTACACGTGTTTGTGTCAACTGTCTGATGCGAAAATTTAAATGCAGCAGTGTCATCCAATAGTAGTTCGGGCCTAAATCCCGTGTTGTACAATGACTTAAAAAGATGTAATAACCCCGTTATGACCTTCAATCAAAGGCTGTGTCCAGTAAAGTAAAAGAACAAATGATAGAGATAATGTTTATTTTTATAAAGGCAGTAGTATGTGTTAGTGCAATCACAGTTGTGTTCGTTTTTACAATTGAAACAGAAAACAATAGATAATGAATATAAATGTGACTATGTATAAGGTTCCAGAAATAAAGAAAAAATGTCTCCATTTTGTCTTCGCAAATATCATTGAATATACATGTCACTATAGACTTGGCTTACTTTGTTGTAAGCAGTTGTTGTGAGATCTGTCCATGTCTGGTGAAATCAACCTTCGCATTTGTCACACTGAATACCACAAGGGCATATAGGTTGTATACGTATGATTTTAGCCACCACGGTGATGTATGGGTTATTACACAAATTCTAAAACTCTTATGACAACGAAAGAATAGTATGCTTAAAACAGATGAAATGGAAACAAACGGGTAGTATAAAAGTTAGGATTTACTAAATCTAGCCTCATGGTGAGAATAAACTTAAAAAGCCGAACGGTTATTTGAGACAAAATTATGCTTAGTTACTAACTTGAACAAAACTCGAAATAAAAAGTAGTCTACTAAACTTCAATCACAGGAAGTCACAAGTGGCACTTTTTTTGAGTTTAGACTCAGTAAAACTTTGAGAGTTGCAAACCTTGTTCTTAAAGTTTGCATAAGGTTAAAAACAGAAAAGATATTATAAGAAGCAATATAATTTCACATCAATTTTAATATATTAAGTGATTTACTAATTAAAAGTTGTTTGAATCGTTAGTAAGACTTAATTTGAAAATGAACTTTTTAATTGGTAAATTCGAGTAAGGCGAAAGGCGATAGAATTCATTCTTGTTCTCAGTTTCGACTCTGCACCTGCCAAGCAACCAGAATAAAGCGAGTTAAATATATGCACTATCATAAACCATGATGCGAAAATTTTTTTCGTTTTCTGTCGTTTTTGCTGCCTTACGTGAAAGACGTTTTCTACGACAAAAGCAACACTCCATCATGCTGTAGACGTGTGAAGTGTTTTGTAGTCATTCGTGATAGAACAGAAGTTACAACATAAAAAAAGTCGTACCTTCAATTAATTATACGATAGAATGTACTCCAGATTATTTACAATTGAGTGACTAAATAAACGAAGACATAACTGTAATTACTGACTAATATGTTGACCTGGAGTTTGTTCCCAGACATCTGTTGTCTTGTCGGTTTCAGTCTTGGAGGATCATTTTCATTACAAAGCAATTTTTGTGTAATATATTAACTTTTGAAATAGCTGTAATCCCAATCGACCCGTTGTAAACTTGTTCACCTTACGTTAAAAATAATTTACTTAGTGAAACTAGATAATTGTATAATAAAACCGTATTCTGTATAGGTTCTTACAAATATATACTTTTCTCCCTATAGATTTATGAACTCTCATTATCCTTCCTTCAAGTTAGCTACGCTCCAAGATTAGGTTTAGTGGGAGGTTTTGAATCCACTCTTCGTCCGTGTTAACCGAAATGAGAAAATAAATGCGTCATTACTTTATAAAGTTTGGTGATGATAATGGTGAAACGCGTCAAAATGTCTTTGTTGCATGGCTGGGACTAGTGAAACAGCCTCAATTATTTCTCTGTATGGAAAATGTCTCGAAATTTACATTGACTGGTCCATATTTCGCCTGATTTTCCGACTACTCAGTGCATGCGAAATTATTCACTGTTAGCCTTTTACAAAGAGACAACTTTCAACACAATTTACAAGACTTAGAATTACGCTACATGTGTTAAAAGGCCGTGTTTACTGAATAATCAGATTTCATAAGAATATTCACAGCACGGAAGTAATAATAACATCTGCGATGTAAGCCGCGAGTTTGATTGTTGTAAATTGAAATCTGGGAATGATAGAAAAACTACCAATAAGTCCATGGTTTATAAAATAAATTACCAGAAGGTAATGACGTGTAGGCCTTTCTTACTTATGTCTACTTTGTTCCTATAAAACATCCAAGTGGAAAAGTAAACGCATGTACAATAAACTTAACTAAATTGCTCATAAATTGTTACTAAACCTCATTACGAACCGTGCATATCATTGGATGATTTCTAAAATAAAGTCAGCCCGTATAGTGGAGTTAAATTTCAATATGTGCAATATTAGTACGTTACCACAAAAGGTAAGTAATGTTAAAATGGTACCGTGCACCTAAAGAATGGAAACAAAAAGCTGTCGTAGAGAAATTTCACATGCATTATCGTTCCTTCTATGATAATGCATACCGAGCTTATCCTTCATGTCATGGAAATAACTTTGAGTCGTAATGCTAATGCGTCTTGTGATTAAGAATGACAATAAAAGTATTACTTTGTGTGCTCGTTTAAAATTCTCACCTTTGAAGAGCTATTTTGATTAGTGCCCATTAGTGTGAAGTAGATGACTACTTCAGGTTTTATAACGATTTCGAATCATCACTCACCACTCTTGTCATCATTGCTATACGAAATTTTTGATAATTATTCAGTGAAAAAGTCAGCGTACAAATTTATCCTTCATATCTTGTTGGAGATATCTGTACAACTCTCCTAATTCCCCTTCAGTTAACAGTGAATTGTACAGTTGGTAGTCTCATGCTAAACTTTTAGGGATAATTATCACGTACATTTCGTTTTTAGTGTGACAAGCTAGAGAAAGTTACCAGTCAAATAAGACACGGCTAAGGTTAGGTTTTGGAAAACTGCACGTACTTTTGCAAATCTCAAATACAAGCTACTCAATTCCAATGATACTACTGTCAAGCGTTGACTTTAAAGTATAAGACTGCTTTAACATTGATTGGGTTTATTTATATCTTGATAACAGGTTTACTTTGAAATAAGGAATATGGGAGCATTCTGAACTGCGAATATTGTATACGACTGCATCCAGTATGGATTCCGGCAAAATCCGAGTCAATGGAGTTGTGCAGGAAATCTTATTCCCGCTTTACTAATCTCAAATTCCTAACATTCGTTAGAGAATGAACAGTTTGCGGAAATTTATGTACCAACGAAAGGATTACTACTTTTCTATGAATATTTGAACGAACAGTTTGATAAGAATTGGGTACCGAGTCTATGAAAGACATTAATTTGTCTACACAGTTATCGGAGATACATGTACAGCAGACATCACCGATAGATCCCAAACCAATGGTGCACATGGTCTCCAGGATCCTAAGGAAACAAACGGCGTACGAACCAATTGTTGGTCACTGGCTACTGTGGGACTGCATCTCCTTACGTTGCCCTACTGCCTTGTGGATTAGACCTTTAGGTCAAAGGTTTGGGGAGTGGCTCCTTAAGAATACCACCTACTTCGGTTTGGACATCCGGGCAGTATCAGCCCACTCACAAATCAAGTGACTTGTGTGTTGCATATGTATTCGGTGCCCTTTTGTACCATATTTATGTGTTCAAATGAAATAAAAACGACTAAATAGGAGAACCGAATCCAGATGTTTCAGTTACCCCTCATTTGACAAGTCGAGAAGTCTTTGTACCAACTTAATATCTACTCTGGACATTAAAGGGCACAATTAAATTAGTCATGGACCAACCGCTTGGTTTCAGTAACCTAGATGAGATTCTACGTGGGCAAGATATACCATTCGAGACATTTCATCATTAAGGCTTTTTGAGGCTTCACGAATTAACCATAACACATAATTTGTTTCATAACTGGTTTGCTGTTTTCAATTTCCAGTTAAGTATCGGATAATTATGAAAAATAATGCAAAATTGTGACAGACTCGTTGTTTTCTGTTTATTACTTTTTTTACAAACTCAAACATTCAGTGGTCAATCCTAGTTTAATGGATCAGCATCGTAACCTTAGGCTATAATTAATACGTTAATCAATGTGGTCGTTAAACTGAATCACCATTCTTTGAAATTTCTGGAGGTAACTTATCAAGGTTTTTCTTTATACTAATACCTAGTGATAAAATAAGGGTGATATTCAACCCAAGAACTTTTAAGTGATCCAGTGGTTAATAATGCAATAAATTATGTAATATGTTGTCTTCTACTACTGAAATTACGTTACAACGAAGTTCATATGGACCATCGGACTTGGTTTGGTATTTAAATGGTGGTTGGAGGTAGTCAACAGGAAACCCTGGACTCGGGTTTCGTGCTACTTGGCACTCGTCAGCTAGGTGTACCTGTAATCTCGAGGGAACTGGCGCTCCCTGGCGGATTCGATCTCGTGTCATCCAGCTTCACAGTCAGAGACGTTACCACTGAGCTATCCGAGCCGCAGCGGCTCAATATATAGTGCCCGCAGTGTCGAGTCACCTAGACTGGTGGCCACATTGCAACATGGTCGGTAGCATTCGATCTGCACTAATAAGGACTAGACAAGCTTGACATTGATCACCACCCAGTGATCAATCAATTGGTTTGGCATTTTGGAGCAGTCGTAAACAGATTTCTTTCTAAACGGCTGGACTGTTTTCAGTTTTCAAAAAGTACTCAACCCAGATTACAGAACTATCTTACGTTAAAAAGATTTACTTCCAAAACCTCACTGATAGAATGTCTGAGAGATGACTTCGTAATTAATGGGGATATTGTTCATAATTTCTGCTAACCTAGTACACCTACAGATCAGCTATCTGTATGTCTTATATGTAACTTGGATTTTATTGCTCTGTGATCCAACGTATATCATATTTGACCTTTGATTATTAGGGAATGTAACTGCAGTACAGTTTCTGGTCCAAAGGTAACATAGCAGCTCTTAGATATCCGGTTATCGAACAACTTGAAACCATTCAATATCTCCCGATCATTTTGGTCATACTCCCGTTGTTTTCAATTAGTGCTTAATCATTTATCTCATTAAATCTCATAGCCCTTCTAAAGTCAATACCTTTATTTTTCAGGTGGTGGCACGGGATTAATAGGTCGATCCCTTGTTTCATCACTTCGATCAACTGGACATCATGTACAAGTTATCACGCGCAGACCAAAGGAAAGAAATGATTTGAGCTGGGTAGACTCCTTTTTAAAATATAAAGAGCTTACGTATTAGGATTCTATCAAGAAGAATGGTTTACCAAAAGATGTAGATGTTATTGTAAATTTGAGCGGTCGAAACGTTGGTGAAGTTAACCCACTATTTCTTATTAAACAGTCAGCTAACTTTACTTACACTCACATTTATTTTCATGAATCGCAGGAATTATGATAAATATATTGACGAAGTTTTTTCCAGTCGTTTAGATACAACCAAGCTTCTTGTTGATTTATCAAAATCTGCCCCAATTAAAGCATTCATAAATGCATCAGCGATTGGTGAGTTCAATAAGCCATAAACACAACTTCTCTTTTGCGTATATAACAATGTTATGATTACAGGGATCATCAGCTTCTAGTAATTCTATTAAACTTTTTAAGAATAATTATAAGGAAGACTGTGTAACTATATGAACGAACGGTAAGTAGCATACAGCGTCTACCAGGATTCTTCAATTAACTCTGCTCTGGGCTGTCCTTTCCAGCTGTTCCCAACTGTTATTCTTTCTTCTGGTGTCTGCCTAAAATTCCCGACACAATCCTTTCTTCGGTTTGCCTTTTTTCCCATTATCCTCAGGATTCCAAGTTATGATATGCTTTGTGTTACAGTTTTATTGAAGTAATAAATATACCAAGAGAAAATCAAGTGTACTGTATTATACATTCACCATTAACACTGTCTTAAAAAACTGGTCAGTATTGAACATATCAAGGTATTTTCTCAGCGAATGAATAGCCCTCTACAAATTATTGTTTTGCACATTTTGTAATTATTACGCATGCAAACGGACATACATCTTTGCTCATGCCGTTATTGATTTTCACTATGAATTTAAAAATTGTGCCATATGACAATTTACAAATGTGCGATTATTCACACCCTAACTACTCACTTTTGTAAAAGTTGAATTAATTAGTTTGCTTACTTTGTAAACAATAAGCTCCCGGATACAACATTTAATGATGGTCACATCATGTTTTGAGTGAACTGTAAGACAATTATATTAGTTGGTAAGTTCCAAATCACATAATGGTTTTGTGTAATGATCGATGGTCGAGTTCAGTAAGTGACCAAGTTTAGAATAGGCTGTAAGTCCAGTACTGTACATTTTTTGTGGCTCTCAATGTCAGCTAACATCAAATTATTATCATAAAACAAAAGGAAAGAATCTTGATGAGCGATGATTTTGTTTGCATTATCCACAACTTTCCAACCAGCACCGTTCTCTACCATTAAGAATACAAGGGAATCTGTGCATAATACATATTTCAAGACAACGATCAAGACACTTTTGTAGAAGCTATGACGTAAGCGTTTAGATAAGAATTATATGTAGAATTTCTGCCTTCCTCTGAAAACTTCACAATTACTAATTAGTTGAGAAATGACTGGATTAGTTTCGCACTTAGCGTATGGAGCTGATTCATTGAGTTAATTTTCAATTCAAGCGATTTTAGAGTTTCTTTCACGTTATAACCACAACGGATTTTACATTCATAGGTGATAACATTGTACTTCATTGTGTAGTATTGATATTGGCTCCTTAAAATAACTTAATATAATTTTAATGTCTATGGTGGTTCTGACCTGTTTCTAAAATGACCAACAAGTGAAATTACCTTTCAAAGCATCACTGAAGAGAGTTCTAACTGGCGTTAAGTGTCTATCACATTGGTTCATAGACATCAATTTTACTATCAATACGTCGTCTTCCACATACCCGAAATCAATGTTCTTTGTTAAAAACAAATGTTGGTTGATATCAGGTTTCATTGATGATTTTTAAATGAACCGAAGATCTAAAATTACCTTTATTTCCTCAATAGATATATCCTACCTAATTTGAAAAGTGTTAGACATTTCATTCTCCATCTTTAATTTGTTCGAATTAGTTATTCGTTAGCCTTTTTGTAGTTATAATTCTTACTGAACTTTCTTCAAATAAATAGTAAAACATTCACAAATAGAATAGTAATATTGACACTTTTGGAGAACTAATCACTGTTCATATATGAGCATCCTGTGAATTTTTTTGATCTAACCATCCTGATAGTTTATGTACGCACAATATTCCACTGTGGTACATTTGTGTTTATTTCTGTTGTATTTTTGGTAGGTTTCTACCCTCCTGATCCGCAAATCACATATGATGAATCTGCTCCATTCAGAGACTATGGCTTTATTACAAATCTTGTTAAACGATGGGAAGATGCAGCTCAAATACCCTCTAGACCTGATATTCGTCAAATTCAACTGCGAATAGGTGAGTTTTGAAGTTTCCTAGTACTTCTTGCCTAATCTGACGAATGTTGAATGCTAGTCCAGAAGTTTTTATAAAGGCTAGGGGTAGTCAAACTAAAATGTGGCATCAGTTCATGAAGTCATTGACTGTTGGTCTAAACCATTTCGGTAAACCTAATCTACTTGGTTGGAGCCCGCGTGATCACTGTGATCAGTACTTGGAAACTAAGTTATATAGTTTTTACAATCAATCGCACTGGCGTAGCTGCATTCACGCTTTATGTTCTTTTCGATTTTGATTTTCAGTATCCCTTTATTACATACTTCTCCACCCTTTTAAATGTTTTTAAATCATACTCCCTAAGACTTAGTCTTTCTTTTTACCTTTGCCGATTGACTATTCGGATTTCTTTTGTTATTTTAGTCCTGTTGTGCTAATAAAATAGTGACAGCATATGTATGCCAGGTTCTTTTCTGATGTTTGTCGATCCATCAATTTTTACACTTTTAATTAAAAACAAATTCCTTAGCCGACTCAATCTTTCCTCTACTTTACAGTCGAGTAAGCGTAGTTTGTTTTCTTACTAAGCGTTTTACTGCTAATGGGGAGTTAGTTTTCAATATATGACCAACTCTGGGAGACTTGGTCAGTTTAGCATTCGTTTACATAAGTTGTCAGGTTTCATAACTACCTATTTCATATTTTCTTTGCTACCTCGTAGGAACATTGTTTTTTCTAACCTGCTTCCGTGAGGTTATTACCTAACAACACTTTTTAAACGGCAAACATCGTTGTCTTTCATAGGAGTTCACCAAGTACACTAACAAATGTCTTGCTCCACTTTATAAATTTGTGAATGATTGACCGCCATGGTTTATCACTGTAGATTACTCCAAGTTACACATTCTCTGTTCACTGAGTAAGCGGTTACTTCATGGAATTCATCAAACGGTAGCATTTAAAATCATTTCGGTGTTAACACTGATGTACCTCAATTTAGGTAAACGTTAATGGTCTGAGGGGTAGTTACCCAATTGTTTATTAGGTTTATCTGAAAACAAGGTCGTTTTCTTATCATTTAGCTCGTGGCCGATATTTCTGATTACCATTATTTTTTTACTATCGTCATGTGATCCATCATCAGGAAATGAAATTAACACTAATGATTTACGCTCATATCTGTTTTTATTGGTGTTGTTAAATATAGGCTAAATGTGTCATCGAAAAAGCCAATTATACTAAGTATGTAGTTTGGGCAAGTCAACGGTTCTAAATATTCAAGTTCCGTCTCCACCATCTACTGGCTGCTTCACACTACTTGATCAGGTCTTTACGATAACCGCAGTTAGTGGTTCGAGGAGCTAGGTGATATAACTGAGAGTGTGTCACATTGGTGTGGATATACTCACTCCCTATTTTCTCCTAGCTCTTAAGTTTCAATATTATCCCGTGCTTTTTATCCCTGAAATCCATTCTTTTCTTCCGAGATATTCCCGACCGTTGTTGCTACCTTGACGTGGTGGCCGGGCTTGCCTATCGTGATGAAGCAACCGAGCTATACTGGCTGGAACAACCGTTCCTCAAGGTCCTACCATGTCAGACAGGTCGGTTGAAGAGCGGTAAGACTAAAAGCAACAAACCCAAGGTCCGAAGGCGAAGTCGTACTGCTGACTGTACAGAGGTGTGACAGCAGTAAGGTGTTTCCTTCAGACAACCAGCATGACAGCGATGCTGCCTTCTCACAAGGAGGGGTGGGGTTAGAAAAGGTCGACCCTAAAAATGCACACCTCACCTTACCTCACGGATTTCCGTCTCCGGCGGTAAGGCCCTTTGAAGAACGGAGCTAACACGTCAAAAACCTCCCACGAAAAGGCCGTGCGCGACCGGCCTCAAGCAGTTGTCCCTTGAGCACTGCGGTCACGCTCTCAGGTCACTGAGACCACCTCTAATCCAATTTCCTTTTCAGGTACCTTACTCGACCAGTAGTGTTCGAGTAAAGAGCCTTTACAAGGTTTATGTACTTCTGGGGTACGCCTTTCAATGACAGACACTGCCACAGAATCTCGCGGTCTATGGAGTCAAATGCTGCTTTTAAGTCGAGAAAAACCACCATTGTCGGACGCCAATAAGTATGCATGTGTTCTAGAATCTGACGGATATCTCGCCTTCGCCACAGGTGACGTAAGTTGGCAAAAGCCGAACGAGCTTTTCGAATCCGTGCTGAGATTTCGTCAGACACCAACCCATTACGGCTGATCAGACTTCCAAGATAAGTGAAGTTGTCAACGCGGTATGGCAACCTGGACCGATGCACATATGTGCCTGGTCCTACGTTGTAGCTGACTGACTGACTGACTTTCGAGATATTTCCTAATGTTTTGTCCATCTCATTATCATTAATATTACTACTATCTCGACGCCTTAGCCATTCACCTTGTTAACTTCATTCCACCTTGCTATAGTATAGCACCTTAAGCCGACACATTTGTCTCAGACTCTGTGTTGATTGTGACTAGCTAACTAATTTATAGAAGACTGGCTTTTCACAATTGGATGATTTGGGAAATCTAGACCGCTAGTTAAATGTCATTCGAAAATTAGTAAAACTAAATGTTACTAGATTAGTTATTTCAAATTACAAGTAGGTTCAAATGTTATGTTACGACTAGTTGCTGACAAAAAAAATAATGACTAAGGATAGCATTGAAGCAAAAATAGTGCATGCAGGACTTATTTCGCCTGTATATATCTTAGTTACGATTTGCATAACTGTCGAGTCAGAATATGGGTGGTAACTATGGTCGAAACAAACTGTATTTTATCATTGATGCTTTATGTGTTTCTAAAACGTAAATTTATATATTTAGTAAATATCGTCTGTGAAAAAACGAGGGTAATGCACACGGCAATGGGGAGTCCAACAATTTCTACTTTTTCGAAATAACCATACTTATGAGGAGAGTACAATTTTGATGATTGATAGTAAAGTAGGTGCAGACCACTCTCAGATAAAACTGATACAAAGTGGCTTGATGTTTACAGTAAGATTTGGTTGATTCCTCTAGTTACGTGAATAACTAACAACACATGAAGGTAAATAACTGGAACGAGAATGCTTCTTAAAATTAGGTTTGGTTTTAACTATTTTAACGGACCCACTAAACGATACCGGTATGATTGTCTTGGAAAGTGTCCAACTCTCTAGATTCTTTTTTTTTGAAATTCTTCATTAGTAATTTTACTGACCACCATTCTTATTCATTACATGAAGTATTTTCCTAAGTTTTCATTTCTTTCCTTCGCTTTAGGTGTAGTTCTTAGCCAAGACTCGAGTTTCATTCGTACTTTTCACCGCATTTATCTCCTGGGGTTTTGTAATCCGATTGGTACTGGTCGCCAATGGATATCTTGGATTCATTTAGATGATATGGTTAGAATAATTGAATACGTTGCTGACCCTAAACGAGTTTTTTCAAGCGGACCTGTCAATTGTACATCACCTAAATCTGTTCAACAGGTTACTTTTGCTAAAGCCATGTCTGAGTCACTTGGTGCTCCGAGTAATATCCTTTCCAATGTTCCAGTCCCATCGTTTCTTTTTACTTATCTCCTTGGTCGTGATCGTGCTTCCTTAGCTGTAGACGGTCAGCGTGTGATTCCTAAGAAGCTCCTCAATGCAGGGTTCGAGTTCACTTACCCTGATTTAGCAGATGCTTTGGAGAATATTTTCGGTCGTCGACCCCGTTCATAAAAGTCAAATTTTCAATTTTTATTGAACGAGGTTATCTCTTAATGAAATATAACTAACCAAGTTTTTCTCTTGTTATCTGTTCAACCATGATAGTTAAATCTATTTGCACCTAAGTACCTTTCTACTGTCTCACATATGTATTATTTTTTCCAACGCTAAAATTATGACTCTTCCTACATGGAGACTTTGTGTTATGTAGCTGTTTCACCACTCACCAGTAAATTCGAATATTTCAATTTTTAGGAGCTAGTCTTTGCTACTTTGTGTATAACTAAGCAATACAATTCTTTATAATCTGCAAGTTTTTTTGCTCTGCTATGATTTGTAATGATCGTCGAACGTGTGTGTCGGTCGATAACACTAATAAAATCTATCTTAGGAAGTGTTTTTCTATACATTGTCAACAAGAAATCATGTGATTACTGAATACGGCAACGGTCATATTGTGTATCACGATATTTACTGTCTAAAAGTAGCCACAAGAATGTCAGTTACTGTCTCAATAACCATGTATAGTGGAGGACAGGTTGATGTTCGCAATTATTACATTTTTAATTGTTATACGAAACAAATTTATCTAGTTTCATATTAGCTGAAAATTACATTAGGATTTGAAGTCAAGAATATTGTGATTTAGAAATACATGCACTGTGCACCTAGTATTTTGAAATACTTCCATTTCAGAGCATAAGTCAATTAAGATTTTAGGCATAGTGATTCGATACCCCTACGATAGTATTATAAGTGGAAGCTTATAAATATATGAGTTGGTATGTAATCCATAGTTGGTCGTCGAACGTCCAATTCCTGATTTTACTGGTCGTCAACAAGGCGGATTTACGGTCGGAATCTCGCCGTAAGTGTTAAAGTAGCTGTATTGACCTCAGCATTGATTTTACTCATACTTGGTGATTTCTTAACAATTATCATGTATAGGGGTAATACACAGTATTACTTCGAAATCCCAACCTTAGGATTCTAACGTGAATTCATGCAAAGAATGTTATCTTGAATAAACATACTAAAATATGTCAATGTTGTACTGAACAGATTATCTCACTGGAAATAAAACAAATATTACATTGAGTGACCATTAAATTGAATTAAAAGCGGAAGTAGCGTTGAAAAGAAATCAATGAGTTAGAAATGTGATTTTGTCACTTAATCCCGTCGTCATCGTCGAGGTATATGCCATTTTATCTTTTAAACCAATGAAATTCTCCCGGTCTGTAATCGTGTATAAAATTCCGGTGCCATATCGTACATCACATCTCAGTCAAGTTTAAGTTACTGAAAAAATATTTGTTAGTGTGGTGATTAATATGTAGAATGAAGTCGCTGTAATTTGAAAAGTCAAAGATACTAAGACGTAGTAATCGTCATGTCGTACTTTTATCGATCCCCTAAGAGGAAGTTTGCAAATACTTTTTTACACAAAATTTGATCGTAATGAACATAGTAAACCAGATTAGTAATATGCTATATTCTTTTTGCTGAGGATTTTGCTACTAGCTAGAAGAGAACTTTGCGGAGTAATTACAAGGCGAGGAAAAACGCTTAGATAATTATACTTTAGTTTAAGTAGACGTCAGTTTCACGTCACTTAAGTAATGGAAATGATTTGACAAATGCAGTATTAGGAATTTTATGTTGAGGCTGGTCAAGAAAATGAAAATTAGACATTGATAAGTAGTTTTTGTATGTTTGTCATTTCTACCTTCCATAAGCTAGAAATTCCAAAATTTCGCTCCACCGCTATTCTGCAGTATTCATGTAAAATAGTTTTATGAATATGTAACGGTAAATAAATCCCTAAAATAAGTAGTTCTGTTAATCTTAAGCATTGACGCTGACCTATTTAGTTTTACCGGACACACTAGCTAAAATCATTCAGACACGCATTCGCACCAGATCACGAGTGGGTGTTGCACATCCTTTACAACTGTCAGCCAGCTTAGATCAAACGCTTCGATGGCCTTCAAAATATATCTTTCGACCACTTTGTTTCTGAATTCTGATCAGACCGGGTTGGTATCCTTCAATTATAGACGTGTCGAACTCCGAATACCTGTGGCATTGTGACGGTAAATGAATCCCCAAAATAAATAGCTCTGTAAGTTTTAGATATTGGATGTTGACCACATTAATTTTAATGGACTTGCCTAGCTGAAGGCGCTCGGTTATGCATCCTCACCAGATCACGAGTGGGAACGCCGCGTTCAACAACCCCTGCAATCACTAGCCAGATTAGATCAGTCGATCCTCGATATATTGATAACCTATCAAATATATCTTCGAACCTCCTCGCTCCTGTCTTTTGATTTCACTTGGTAGGTACGATTCATATTAGAAGGCGTTACTGGTTAAAGTGTCGTCAAATTCCAAATAACTGAGGCATCTTCAGTAGGACATGCACCAACACCATCGACGATATGCTGAAAATCAACACCGCCATATCACCGAAGCTGTTAGACTTACGGTGGTATTGGTCCTAACCACAATCCTCAAAGCTGAACGTGAGATAATTGGGAAATTAGACATTCAACATATGTCACTGAGAGGTCAACAATGGTGAACGCGTAAACATTCACTCGAAATTCAATCAATCGGATGGCATGGCTCGGCTTTACAGTCGTCGTCATTCTTATGTAACTCATCATTTATTCATATTAAATATAATGTTCTATCACTAGCCTAATTGTGTTCTTCATCATATATTGATGATTGTTACAATACGATGATTCAGTCAAGACAATTATGTGACTTCCACGTAAGATCTTATAGATTAGGCAGTTACATAATGACAAGACTACAATCTTGGGATTAGGTCTATTACTAGAGAAGTACTAATAACGAACTAGACCATAATTCTGCAGACTCGCAGAAAACTTGTGTATACGCGGTTGTCCATAAAATAATCCGAGACACTGATGACATTCATTTGTGGGATTATGGCCTTATTCGATATTAGTGCAATTATCTATGCTACTGGGATAATGGACCTCATCAAAACTGTGAACTTACCATCTAATCTATCTGACCTTACATGGAAGTGACATCATATTCTATACTAACTCGTCCTACCGTGATAGTTGGCAATATGATGTTTAGCACATCTGAAGAACGATTTTGGGCTGGATATATAATGATATATTTTTCATGAAAAAGGGAAGAAGTTACATATGGTGACCACGCCCGCATAGCCGGGCCATACTATACCAGCTAAGTGTTCCCGCGCTCACCATATCTGACCATTCCTATGGTGTAAAATGTCGAATGTGAAAGTATTTTCAGCTTCAAGCATCCTATTGTTAGAAACCAGTACAACTACACACTAGCACAGATGACATAGAAGGTATTCAACTGGATAGTCACTTGCTTAAATCAATAGAGGATGTTAGGGTACTGCCTGATATACAGTATTATTAGCGCGATTCCCTCAGAACCATACCAGAGAATCCCGAGAGTCGTTCTTTCTCGGAAGAATCATCAATGTTCTAAATGTCCTAGAAAACACAAACCATGGTTACAGAAAATGCAATAATTGGGAGTGGAAGTTCAGGAACTCTTAGAAGTTTGAGAAAAGTTTGCCCCAAAAAGTGGTGAAATTACCTGGGAAGGTCTAAGATTCTAGAGCCCGGGTAGTGAAGATGACATTCCGATCCTCCTAAATGCCGGCTGCCACTCTCGAGACAGTCTTGGCAGAAGACGCCCGTTAGTAACTGGAATACACATACATTCGTATTTCACTTGGTATATACGATTCATATTAGAAAATGTTACTGGTTAAAGCGTTGTCAAACTCCGAATGCCTGTGGCATCTTCATTGGTGAATTCGACGTGATCTGGTACACCAAATTGCAAACTGTGAGTCTGTTGCTTTTGGAATTCTGTATATGGTTGCCTTATATTAATTTTTATATATTGTGATATATTTTCCCGTGTTTTTGATATATTATTTCACTCGTTCATTCTCGTACCTGACGTTACCCGATGACATATCCGACACCCAAGGTACTTTTTTTGAAGAATAAGTCCCCATCTCGCTCCAACGTAACGTCAGACTTATTACTTTTTGCCGACGACGTGAAACTTTGGAGAGAGAGATATACGCAACCAAGACGATACACAGGCACTTCAGGAGGATCTGACTCGACTTCAAAGTTGGGCAGATGATAACGGACTTACCTTTAACACTTCAAAGTGTAAAGTAGTCCATCTGCGACATGTTGCAGACTACAGTTATAACTTAGGTAACTCCTCTATAGTAGTATCCCAAGTCGAAAAATATTTAAGAGTCTTGGTGCCCTACGATTTAAAGTCTTACGCTGATTGTGACAAAAATGCCTTCCGAGCAAACATTGCACTGGTAACATTGAAGCGCATTTTTCGCCAGGTTGACGGAAGAACTTTCCATGTAATCTTCAATAGTTTATCCATCCCCATTTAGAGTACAGAAAAATAGTATTTCCTCTCTCACTCCAAAATGATAAGGACACCCTGGAACGTATCCAACGGCGAGCCACGAAATCAGTTTGAGGACTCAAATTTAAACCTTATGGAGAGCGCCTCCAATCACTTAAACTTTACCCATTAGAGTATAGGCGTCTTAGAGGTGACCTATTAATGGCTTGTAGTATTCTCAACACTTCTGGACATCCTCTTAAACACCTACTTAAGCTTAGTTCGAATAATAACCTAAGGGGTAACACCCAGAAACTGGAAACACAACATAGCAAGACGGAATGTAGACACAACTTCTACTCCTTAAGAGTTGTCAAAAGCTGGAATTCGCTGCCGGCCGAGCTAGTCCAAGCGAATTTTCAGGAGTCCTTCAAGAGGCAACTTGACCTATTCTTAAGGAACAAGAACAGCATCACACTATGATTTATCAGTTTCTTTTCCTCTTTTATTGTTAACATACCTAGGTTCCTGCCTAGAGGATTTGGTGATCCCCTGCTACTAGACACGGAAGCCTGTTAAGCGAAAGCTTCTTCTGTTCCGTCCACAACCATTCGAACCATTTGAATCAGCGCGTGACTTGAGCCTGGCGTCACATGGCAGCATTTACAATGCTAGACGGTGTGAACAATGTGGTCGCTGAGTTATATTCGTATTTTACGGATGTTCAGATATGCTTTATAAAATATGCTATAACTGCTCTTCTGGTGACATCTACGTCTTTCTACTTGTTACGAAGAAGCCTCGGGAAAGACCCAGTCTTAATCAACACGAAAAAGTCCAAAACACGCATCAAGAAAAGCAAGACTAAATCATCTGATGGTAGAACATCGTCATCGGTATTTTAAGTTCATAATATAACTCCAATTTTAGGATGGTGATCACGCTGAAATTAAAAAACCTGTGGTCCCAC